TAGCTTTGGATAAGGCACATGCTCCTACTCCTTCCGCTGTCTCCCTCCTCCTCTTTCTTCTCCATTTTTGTCTTAAGTAGCATTAGATCTGCCTCCATATTTATATTTGGCTTAGGCTAACATTAAAATTAGTTTGCATTCTCTGCGTATGCATGAACAGGCAATGGAAAGAGATGGTAGATGACGGGAAGAAGCCAGCCTCGTTTTAACATTTTCTCAAGGATGTTCTTTGGACAGTACAAGTATTGGCTTCTACAATTAAAACATGACATAATCATGCATTCATTTTATTAAGTACTATTTTTTTTTTTTACTTTTTAAAAAAATCTCTTTTTATAGCTGTTTTCTCTCCTGCTTCCTTTCCTCACCCACATAAAAACTGGTTAGAAGAAATAATAAGTTGTGGAAATAATAGAAAGACTAAAAATTCAACTTCCAATAGTCTGGACAAGAGAGCAGCCTCACTGCAAATGGTGCACCCAAGTCCTGGGAGAGGCAAGGGTCAGCCTGCTGGTGAAGGGCCCCTGTCAGCGACTTGGTAGCTGCTTGCTTTGAGGTGCATTGTTTTCAGAAGCGAAATTGCTGACTGGTAAGTGCAGATCGTGAATGTTAGGAAGGACGTCTGATCATGGATTATTAAAAATTATTTAGCAAAAGAAAAGGGATGTGTTAATGCTATATTATGAAGTACAGTGTTTTACTTTTTAGAGTGATTTAAGTCTCCACTTAGACTGATTATAAGGGGCCTCATTTTTAAATGCAATGCCCTATATAAACACACACATAAAAACCAATGCCATGTAAGACAAGAGGATTTTCAGTGGTTCCCCACTTATAATCTATTTGTATTTTCACCGGACACATTATCGCTCTAAGAGCAATTTGGCTCCATCCTATGAAAGCTGCATCAGACTTCCTAATCTCCCTTTCCATTGACTTCGATAGCCTCAGTCATACCTAATATGGTATCAGGAGAGATTGACATAAACATGTTTTGTTTTTCCCCACTGTAGTTTTATAATGTCTTAGTTCCATCAGGAATTTATAGCCATTGTTATCATCCTAGCCCATCTATAAAAGAGTCTTTGGGGGAGTAACAAAGAAAGTTTGTGATGAATTCCAGCCACAAGGAAACTTCCGAACATTCCTGCAGCTGGACTCCTGGTTAACCAGTTTATAAAAATGGTCATATGTAGGTGGGAAACAACCTCAAAAAACAGTGTTTCCAAAAGTCACTAAGTTGGGATTTACTTCCAGACATCTGATACGACCAGCGTTCCCTCTCCCACAAGGTTACAAAAGTTACATGTTTTAAATCGGGACAGCCAGCTGCAGAACATTAAGTTGTTTCCCAAGTGTCCATTTTAATTCACAAAAGTATATGGAGCCACGATCTTAGTTTGTTGTATTTAAACATCCATTAAGGTCAAGAAGTTTGCAAATTCAGACAACACTATACAGAATATAGCAGTAATATTTGTCTCAGGCTTCCTGCAAGGATCCCAAAGCATTTTCAGATGTCGCTTTCTTCCTCTAACAGACAATTGCTAGACACTCAGTGTGTGCGTAATGATAATAAAGTCTGAAACAGTCTATGTCCTATAGTAAATAAAAAGAGCTGTAGAAATTAGTTGCATTTTTTTTTTTGCTATAGTGTATTTTACATTTTTTTATTGTGGTAAAATATACATAACATAAAATTGACATTTACCATTTTAAGTGTATAGTTCAATGGTATTAACTATATTCACATTGTTATATTAGAACATTTTTTTTTCAATTAAAGTTTATTGGGGACATGGAAACAACCAAAGTGTCCTTCCATAGATGATTGGATAAAGAAGATGTGGTATATATACGCAATGGAATACTACTCAGCCATAAGAAAAGATGAAATAATGCCATTTGTGACAACATGGATGGATCTTGAGATAATTAAGCTAAGCGAAATAAGTCAGACAGAAAAAGTCGAGAACCATCTGATTTCACTGATATGTGGTATATAAAAATTAATTGCAGTTTGTTTTTTTTTATAAAAAGGAAAGGAATCAATAATCAAGAAGAAAGATAACTGATTTTACCAGTTTTATCTCTCTAGATCTTTGTGATCCGAAGATACTGTCTTATTGGAGTCAATCTAACCTGGTAGATACGGAATGAACCTGCAAGTCAAGAATCCCGAGTCCCTGACTTGCTTTTATTTTTACTATTAACTTGTTGAGATTTAGGGGTTTTAGCTGTTGTAATTGTCATAGTTGGTGAAGATGTTTGTTTTTAATTTTTTATTAGAGTATAATGCACATATAGAAAAATACTCATACATATATCATAAATATGTAGCCCAAATTTTCACAAGCTGAGCACCAATGTAACCAGTACCCAGATTATGAAACAGACCATTACCAGCACCCCAGAAGCCACCCCCATGCTCCCTTCCAGTCTCGTAAGCCACTTTGAAAAAGCATAGATTAGTTAGATGTGTTTTTATAAGTGGAATGAGTCATACAGTAAATACTCCTATATCTGGCTTCTTTCACTCAATACTATGTTTGTGAAATTGATTTATATTACTGTTTGTGTTCGTAGACTGTTCATTCTCGTTGTTATGTATCATTCTGTTGTGTGACTAGACCACAATTATTTTGCCATTTTACTATTTGCGAACATTTGGCTAAGCTTTGATTATTATGGATTATTATTTCCAGGTTTTGATTATTATGATGAATGTTGCTGTGAACATTCTACTACGTATATGTTGGCATTTCTGATGGGTGTGTACTTAGGGATGGAACTGTTAGATGTCAGGGTATGCTCGTATGTTTCCCTTTGGTAGTTGCAGCCAAATAGTTTCTCACAGTGGTTGTCCTTACCCCATTGTTTCTGAATGTGAAAAGTGAGAAAGCCATACTAGTTCTCCCCTTTGGATAATGGCTGTGAAACTTATTAATACAAATATTTCAGGTATTAGTATGTATTTTAGGTACTCAGAGGCACATACTTAAGAGTAAAGAGTAGTCTTGCAATTTCCCTCATGGGCATATAAACTCAGAATATAATTCTATCTAACTTCCAAGACAATCGGTGAAGACTTAAAAGTATATACCAACTAAATCCTAATCAGCTCTGCAGTTCAGCATTACCCTAATCAGAAGATTCAAGTTTAGTAGTCAAAGTATGGCCAGTAATTTTCGATAGATGGTACTATCTGCAATTATAATCAGAATTGACATTTTCATTTCAGTTTCACAAGTTAAGCATTTATTCTGTGTATTTAGTGCCCACTTATCATCTAAAGTATAGCCAGCCGTAGGGCCTAATTTTCTGCCTCGGCTGCAATGTCTGAAGTGTTCCAAATGATTCATTCCGCTTTTTCGATGGATTTCTTTGTTAATGTGTTCGCACAGGTGTGACAGTAAGATTTCATTTGTCACTTGGCCTCATGATCAAAACTGTTCTGTCCTGTTACGTGACCTACTATGTTGTGTATTTCATTTACTGTATTGAGATTCGTTTCCAGAGAGAGCTTTGAGACAACAGGCTGTATCCTGTGATGACATTCATGAAGTCATGTCTTCTCATGACCTTATTGACTTCTGAAGCTTAGGTTTACTTTTGTCATGTACACAAAGCCATTCTTTCTAGGTGCTGGTTTTAAGCAGAGAAAAAGTGACAGGGATGCTTGGGATGGCATCCCTGGGTAGGCAAATGGAGGCTTTAAAAAACAACAAGGATGCATAAACACACAGATGCATGTGCTTGCAACGGTCTGTGTTTCCTTTCAGGTTCATGTGCTGTTAAGCAGCATTAAGTTAAAGTAAATAGAATATGAGGGTTTATATTATATGAAAATTAAATTGCCTATCACTTCAAAGATAGCCTGGGATCATGCCATAAATTGGTATTTTGGTGCGTTCTCTATAGCACTGATGAAACTGCATTCATTTGCATCATTCTGAAGAGCATGAAGGTTTTAATTTTTGTCATAGGTATTTTTTCTAGACCATGCTATTAAACACACATTTACAAAAAGCAAGAAAGTATGGTATTAATGGATAAAAGGTGATGACCTTTTTTTTCCATCTACTCTTAGTCAAACCATTAGAACTGCCCTATTCTAACTTGTGCTTCAGTCTTTCATCATTACCATTATTATCCTTATTTTAACACATTGGGGTAATATATATTCAATATGTCAGAGTTCAAGGCTAGCCCTGCTGAAGTTCCGTGCTTACAATTCACATTAGTTGTACTCATGTGAGTTGTGATGCTTAGGTTTGACCTTAGCCTGAAATAATTCAAATAATTATACTACAAGCTACTGTCAGATAATGCTTTGCTATATATAAAAATGAGTGCCTTATTTATAATAGTATAAATAGTTATAATTCCTTGATTCTGATTATTTGCATGGTATTTTGGAAAATGGTATGTTTTAGAGTAACATTTTAAGGTGATATAAATACTCAGTTATACTTTAGTATTTATTCTTACATATGATCCTTCAATAAAATGTTTAACATAAGTGAAAGATAAGTAGATCCTCAGGAAATAAAACACCATGATTTAAAACCAGCAGAAACAACTGAACATTAAAACAGATATACAAAGATTTGAGGCACTGGAATTGTGAGACACAGACCATGAAATATTTGATTGCTCTTTAAAGAACTTGAGGACAAGCTTAAAATGTCATCAAGTAAAAAAAAAAAAAATGCTGTGAAAAATGACCTAGCAACTACAGAACTGAGCTTAGTTGCAGAAAGAAACTTAAGACCTGAATAAGTGGAGAGATACAGTTGTGTTCATGGTTTGGAAGGCTCAATACTATTAAGATGTCAGTTCTCCTCAAGTTGATCTATATAGACTTAAATCTTTATCAAAATCTTTATAAGGCAATTTGGAAGATACTGACAAGCTAATTCTAAAATGTATTGGATCGTCAGGAAAGTCATGACGTGTTTTTGCATTGAAAAACATAGAAAAATACGTTATTACTTTCCCGGCAACACAATATACAAAATGCACAGGACCTAAAATATCCAAAACAATTTTGAAAAAGAACAAAGTTGGTGAACTTATACCAACTTATTTCAAAACTTTTTGTAAAGCTACAGTAACCAAAGACACTGTGACCTTGGCAGGAGAATAGACTACGGGTCAAAGGAACAAAATAGAGAATCCAGAAATAAGTCCATGCATGTCTGACCATTTGATTTCCAGAAAAGATGCCAAGGCAGTTCAATGGGAGAAAAGGTAGTGTTTTCAACCACTTGTATGGGAAGAATTGGATATTGGTAAAAGAAAAAAATAACCTTGACTTTTACCTGACATCAGACATAAAAATTAACTTAAAATAGATCATAAACCTAAACCAAAAAAGCTAGTACTATAAAACTTCTAGAGGAAAATGTAAAAGAAAACCTGGATGACATCAGGTTAAGCAAAGATTTCTTAGGATACAAAAAAACATAAGCTATCAAAGAAAAACTTAATAAATTGTACTTCATTAAAATTGAAAACCTTTGTTCAGCAGAAGATGCTTTTAAGAAGAAGAAAATGCAAGTCTCAGACTGCCGCATGACCTTGGATGATTCACTGTACCTTTCTTGTCCTTTTTTTTTTAATTTATAAAGGTTTCTTGGGAGATACAAGTTATGTACATTGTATAGTCCCATGTAAACATAAGACATTATTATTGTAGTTTTAAGAACTATTGGCATTTCTCATACCTGTAGGTAGATATTTCTTAGTTACCTTGCTCTCTGTGTACATTATTTTTTTAACTCAGGGTAACAAGCTAAAAAACAAAACCTTGTCACTTTCTGCATGTGTGCATCCTCATAAGGCAATGTGGCTCTCTGTAACAGCCTTTGCAGTTACAAGGAAATACGCTTCCTCTTTGGGAACTTGGAAGCTGAGAAGTATTGAAAATAAAATTTAAACATCATAAAATTCTACTAGTCATTTTTATAAGCTTCTAGAACTTTGGAAAAGAGGATTCTTTATTTTTAGCTCTCTCAGCACCTAGACCCCTTTTATTTATCAATCTGAAAGTATTTTGGACACAACAAGTAGTTTCCTATCGAAGTCTATTTCTGCTGCAGAAAAGGGCACTTTCTTTTTAAATAACCCTGGATAAGAGCATGATTCACTCAGTCTGTATTTTTGAGCATCGTTATGCTCACTCAGTATTGTAGAAGACACTGTAAAGGTAGTAAAGGTAAATAAAAAGTGGTTCCTGCCCTCAGAGAGCACATAAGAAAAGAAAACATAAATCCCATCTCCGCACTGATTCCTCCCCATACCTCCTCAAAAAAAAGGGGGTAAATTGTGATCATTGAGACAAAAGAAAAACGAGTCCTTGGGAGTTCAGAAGATAGTGACACCATTCGCAGCTGGAAAAGTAGGAAATACTTTATGAAGGAGATGGCAGTTAAGTTGGACCTTGAAGAATGAAGATCAGGTTTCAGTAGATGGAAATAAGAGGGAGGACATTCTAGGCAGAAGAAATGGCTTAAGGAGAAGTGGGAGGAAGTGGACAGACATTGCAGGTCATGTTTAGGCAAAGGTGGACAGATGTGCCTGAGTGAAATCTTCATTTTTTTAATTTAAATGTCATAGAAGCTGAAGTAGTTTTGGCACTAATGTAAATAACCTTTAATACTAAAAGAAAGTCTTAGATATTATTCATGAGACAGTAGGAGACCATTGTAAGTTGCTAAACAAGAATACAATATGATCAGAAATGTACTTAAGATAAATTAGCCAAATCAGTGGTTTGGAGGGGAAATATTGGAGTCCACGAAACTACATAGGACTCCATAGCAATAACTAGGCATGAGGTCCAAAGACCATCAAAGTTTGGTGAAGAACTAGGATATTCAACAGATCAGCCTCTAGGAGGGGTTGGCAAGTTTAATGAAAAAAGGGAGTGGTTACTAATGTGAATTATGCCAGTAAGGTCAATTAAAGTAAGACAGAGAAACGGTTTGGTAATTAATAATCATTGAATTATAACCCAACATCTAAAATAAAGATCCATGAATCCAGACTGATGTAAACGAATGAATGAATGAATGAGTGGAAAGAAACAAATCTCCCATGAAGAATTCCAAATAATTCCTGTAAATAACCCATCCTCAACGAGCAAAACATCTCCACCTCTTAAGTGTGTGCTGTTCATGGTGAGTGACTTCTTTCCAAAGAGTACAGTGTGGGAAAGCTGAGGGGTGAGGGAAGGGCATTTACCATGGAGAAACCTGAAAACACTACCCTCCACCAGGTAACCCATCCAGTCAATATCAACAGTCATAAATCATGTTCACAGTATATACCCTTGATATGATGTGACGAAAATGACACTTCACCCCTTCGTCTTCCTACCAAAATCCATAACTCAAGTCTAATCATGAAAAAAAATCAGATAAATCCCAACAGAAGGCATCCTACAAAATGCCTAACTAGTGTTCCTCAAAACTCAAAAGTCATCAAAAACAAGGGAAGTCTATGAGAAAGTCATGGGCAAGAGAAAGCTACAGTAACACTGTGACTCAGTATAGTGTCCTGGATGTGATCCTGGAACAGAAAATGTCAGGTAAAAACTGAGGAAACCTGCATAAACTGTGGATTTTAGTTAATAATGTATCGGTAGTGCTTTTTTTCTTTTTATATTTTTGGTTATTAAATGATTTGTTTATTTTACAGCATTTACAAAGAAAATAGACAATAGAATAAAAGTACCAAGGATAAAAATAGTACAAAGAATAAAAATATATGCTGGGTTTAATTTTTCATTGACAGCAAATAGAAATCCGTTAGTGAGATCATAGCAATTTGACAATATTATGACTAAATTCAGTAAAAATACTTGGAAGATCACATTCTACATTTGCTTCTTTCTATGGTTCCTAATTCATCTGGCTCCTTAAATGAAAGGGCGAAAGCCCTCATTTGTTTGGAAACATTTCCAAAATGAAGTTTTAGGTCCTCATTAAATTTTTTTCATTTCATTTGTTAAAATGAGGCCTCTGTGTGTGTGTGTGTGTGTGTGTGTGTGTGTGTGTGTGTGCATGTGTGTGCATTATTTCACTTTAACGTCATGACCAGTATTTCTGTTATTCCACAACTATTATTTTACAGTATGGAAAATAATTCAGTTGTAGTCTGCTATTGCTTTAGATGTATACATGTATTATATATAATTGAAAACCCAACGTGAATTAGAATTTCTGAAGCATTTTCCCTGCTGTGGTTTGATACAGTCTGTTCTCTTTCTTGATAGGCGCATAGACAGCTTCCCGTTTAGTAATATACTAATGTAAGATGTTATTATAATAGAGGAAAGTGAGTGTGGGAGGATATGGAAATTCTCTGTGCCATTTTCATAACTTTTTGTAAACCTCAAACTATTTCAAAAAGTAAGTCTCTTTTTTAAAAGCAATCAGGGTAGTACCATTTTGGATCTATTAAATTAGTAATAATGATAAATAATATTTTAAGTAATATTTAAATGTCCAAATGTTGGTGAACATATGGTGAAATTGAATGGTGCATACATTGTTAATGACTAATGTAAAGTGCTCTAACCTTTTAGGGAAGAACCTAAATTTTATTTCACAAATCTATAGACATAAGTATCTCAAGAAATTGTTAAAAAAACAAACAAACAAAAAATACCGAGAGAGACACGCACATACATATACATAAATATGTGCACTGCAAAAAGTGGAGATCAAATTATCAGGAGCTATTTGAATGAATTATGATATGCTAATGCAACAAAACAGCAGTTTTTAAATTGTGTTCTAAAGATCCCTCAGGATCCTAGCCCCTTCTAGGGGTCAGCAAGATTAAAATATTTTCACAATAGTAAGACGTGATTTGCCTTTTCCACTCTCATTCTTACATGAGCATCAATGAGTTTTTCCAGAGGCTACACACTCTATGATAACACAGCAGACTCAATGCAGAGGCAGATATGAGAATCCAGATGTCTTCTATTAAGATAGGCATTAATGAGATTTGCATATATGTAAAACATTGCTACTCTCTCACTAAAATTTTTTTGCTTTGGAAAATTCCATTAAAAAAAAAGTTATGTTAACATGTTTATCATTTTTAAATAAAATTAGTATTTTTATCAGTTTTCATTTCTAATGCAGTAAATATCAAGAGATGTAATCCACATAAACAAAACTCATTGGAGTGTTCAGTGATTTTTAGGAGTGTAAAAAGGTCCTAAGACCCAAAAATATGACAATCACTGTAATGAAATAATAAACATATTTTATTGTTATAATTATGAGGACATGAAACATGGGGAAATAATTCTGATATAGTAAAAAGAAATAGAATTTAAAATGGCATAATCGCTGATCATAACTATGAAATATTGTAAAATTTATTGGTTAGAGTCTTACCCTGGCTTTCAGTCAAGATAACACAGGAACAGAAGAATGAATGCATTTGGTTTGTTAGGTGGCTTATTCAAATTTACAATTTAATAAAATTATTCATGCTAACATATTGAGAATAGTAGGTAGAGTTTCTGCATCATTTATATTTGTGTTTAGAATTATACTAAATGTGTTCATTTTAAATATTATTTTTACGAGCCTAATTAAATTAGCATTTCACAAGCATAGTATAACAGCTGGAGGAAGTAATATGCCTAAAAACCAAAGGAAATCAGCTGAAATTAGCAAATAGTTGCCTGAATCTATTCACAAACTAGATGATCCACATTATAGATAAAAATCTGACTCTCTCTCTCTCTCTCTCTCTCTCTCTCTCTCTCTCTCTCT